ACACACACACACACACACACGTACGTACACCACAACGTACACACAAACAGCCTTCAAGTAATTTGGCCAAAACACATAAAAATCATTTCACAGCGTGTTATTTCTCAGAATAATTAGTTTTGAGGTGATTCCTTTTTCCGTCAAAATTGTCCAAAATTTCGGTGAAATTTCCGTAAATCATCGAATTACGGTCACGCTGGGGGTAAATGCATTGCAGCGTTGGGAAGTCAAGCGACATTCCTGATCGCAAGTGGTTATTGTGGTTGTGGTCAGGATACCCTGGTCATCATATTCCTAACTCTTGGTGTTGGATTATCGGGTATACAATATGCCGGATTCGTGGTCAATTATTTGGATATTGCGCCAACATTTGCCGGACCCATTCTTGGCATCGGTAATACCATATCGTGCATCGCCGGCATCCTATGTCCGTTGATGGTTGGAAAACTCACACCCACGGTATGTTAACTTGGACGTTTAATTACATTTTTCGAAAAGTATTTCGCTAAGTTATTCATTATTCGTGCCCCCTGCATTTTTTTTTAATACTTAATATTTTCGCGATTTTCAGGGTTCACAACACGAATGGCAACTGGTATTCTGGATAACCGGTGGAATTTTAGCAGCGGGTACCATTATTTTCTGTGTATTTGCGCGAGGTGAAGTGCAACCGTGGGCTCTGGCCGATCCAACAAAGGAAGAAGAGCGTGAATTGAAGCAGCCACAGTTGACCAACAGCAACTCGGGTAGTCCGTAGAGGAGGAAAATTGGCGTCATAGGAACTGGTTCCCGGTGGCTACATCCGGGTGGCAAAGATGATCGCATCCATGAAAGTTACTAACTGGCTACAAGGATGTGATTGCTTTGGCTTCTGCATCGTTGTTTTTGAACCGTTCAGAAAATCTGTTTCAGTACTAACTTTAACAAACTGTTTTTTGATCTCGTGTTACGTTCAAAACTACGTCTGCAATAACCATTAATTTGTTAATTTCCTGGTTTTTGTATGAAGTTCAAACACAATTTGGATAATTGGGAAATTGGATATTAGTTAAAAACCGAAAAAATTAAGTTTTTCAAGTTACAAAAGCCGGT